CATGGGTGGGCTAAGCATGTACTTTTGTATGGGGGACTGCCAATGGCAATATTGTAATATTGTAGTATGMTTTTTCATCTTTTTGAYRTTTCTYATTGTCACTCCCCCAAAAGCTTAACGTACTCTTTGAGGGGAGGTAGGTAGTCGAGTGAGCTCGTAAGCGTGTAAAGGTTAAGCACGAGATCCCCTCGACACTGTACTGTGTGCTTGTCAAGTAGCCTTTTGCTAATTTGTGTGCCTTCTTGTTGCCTTTGTGTATGTGTTTGCTTTGTTTCGTAGGCTTACTCGCCCATTTCGAGTGCCGCACGGGGCCCCAACGATTACCCCCGTGACACCATTGTGGGGGGCTGATGTGAACTCTCAGATGCCTTGCCAATTGGGAGGGGAAGAATATTGCCCTTCACAAGGGTTAGTTGGGGGAATTCGCATCAACGCCCCACATGTGCCCCACAGAGAATCTCAGACGTGCATTGGGAATATCTCTCTTTAACACGTACGCCCCACACGTACGGGAGATTATTCGTATGAACCCCCCTCCCCTGATTGGTTGAGGGGAGGTGGGTAAGTTGTTTACTTTCCTGCCAAAAACCTTAATCCCCTCCTGCCAGTTTTTTACTAGGGTAATGAAAACACAAAAGAATGCTGGCACCAAAATTATCCGAACCACTTTTGCCCGAATAAACACGTTACCCAAGTACCGGAAAACAAACAAGGCCAAAATAGATTTGTTCATGGGCAGGCCGTTGGGCTTGGCTTTAGACTGCTCCAGGCTTGGGCTTTGGGATGGATCCATTCAAATTTTGGCAAAATATGAACTCGATCATATGGCATGAACAGGTCTATCAATGAGAAGTTGCTTCATCATCCAAAACTTGATCTTTTCCATCTCTTCTAGTGAAAATTTTATAACGAGAATCTGTAATAGATAGCTAGTAATTTGGACTTTCGTCTTTTGCATCCATTTGTTTGCAACATACATTTACCTGATCCAAATTTTGCACCTGGTCAATTTTATATGTTATGATTCACACTCTTACCTAGTGCAAAATTTGTATTTTTTGTCTCATTTGCACTCATTGGCACTCAATTTCATTTATACCCTGTTCCTTGGTTCCTTCCAGACAAATAAGATTTCTCCAACCTCCATTCTCTTTCATATAAAGTGGGGGCATCATTTTACTACTTATTTCTTTGAAACAAACAAAACAAAGTCAAACCCGAAGCAAAAAGTGAACCAGAATTTGTGTCTATTTGCACTCTTTATTTACATTTGTGCAAATGCAAATAAATGCCTGGGCTGTTTTTCAGTTTCTTACACATGACACATTACCCCACTCAGTTTTTTGTTTGTCTTTTCTTTCTTTTTTTAGAGAATTCCTTTGCCCCCTCTCTCTCTTCCTCTCATATAAAACTCTACAATGTTTTGAAGGAATCTTAAAGCATTCAGAAGAATAGGGAATACAACAAAAAGGGACAAACTCCTACTTGCTCTTTTATTTTTCTGAAACTATAATAATATCCTTGGAAAATATAGGTTTTACTTTTATTTTGTTTAATTTGACAAGGTATGTGATGTTTCACCCAATCTTAATATGAGTTCACATCTCGGCTCACAACACCTCACAGCTCATCCCCGCTTTGTATTGAGAACATTTCCCGATGATGACATTATTGATTCAGATACTATCATCGAGAGATATTTTCAATACACAGCGGGGATGTGTTGTGGGGGCGTTGTGGGGCGGCCGGAGATGTGATCTCTCCTAATATAGGCCCATGAAAAGTTAGAATAATGTGGTGAAAATATAAGTCATTAACAATATTTTTTAATTCCAGATAATTAATTACAAGGGGCGGGGGTTTAAGGGATGGAGACAGAGCAGAGCAGAGTGCACGGAAGGTTCACTGACCTGACCACGAGAGAGCCTGCAGTGAGTGCAATTACACAGGTTTGATCCTGCACCTCCATATTTAGGGGGATCAGGGGATGTCTAGTGTCATCTCAGCTACTGGGTTCATAGACAGGTTCTAACAATTCAACCTTAGAAAACAAACTCTACTCAAAAAAACGAAAGGGTAAATTGCTGAAACCTCCTCTAAAATTTGATAACTATAATTATCTCCCCCTGAACCTTCTGATATTGTTTTAAGTAGACCCTTTTTGTTAGAATCTTTTAAAAAGAGGCACAAAAATGTTGAAAATATCCGTGTAATTAGTATTAAGGTTGGTTTCTATAAAAAAAAAAAACGATACAAGTTTTATAAACAAAAAAAAAAAGAAAATCTAAAGTTGTAACCTTGCCTTTGAACGATTGATAGAAATGAAGGGACAATTTGGAAAACAAATCAGTTTTGAAAAAGAGATTGGAAGGGTTTGGGCTAGCAATTCATATGGAGAGAAAATTTGGAAAAAATAAACATTTTGACCAAAAGTAACTGTATGGGTATTTTAGATATTTTCATACATCTTTTTAAAAGATTCTAACAAAGGGGATCTAATTATCTACATGCAACAATGTCAGAAAGTTCACAGGAGAGATGATTGCAATTATCAAACTTCAGGGGATGTTTTCGAAATTTATCCAAAAATAAGTGTTTGAACAGGCCCCATCCATTAAAAAATCTTTCATTTTTGTGTAAATTGGTTTTTCCGGTTTTACTTTTTGAAAGAAAAAAGCCAAACAGATTACAAAACAGTTTTTGATTTTTTTTTTTCTTTCTTATGGAAAAGAATCCCTTAAAAAGTGAGGAGTAGTTTTTTTAGAAGAACCACATAAAAACAAGCTTCAACTGAACACCCCAAAATTTTGTTACTAAGGCTCAGTTTGGAAGGAGTATAGAGTGCAAAACCTTGTATTTTGTATTATTTATGCTCCTTCCAAACTAAGCTTAATGAAAATATTGATAAATAATTGGAAAATCAGATTTAAACTTGGGTTACTTGCCAAGCCAAGTCAGGAAAAAAAAATTGCTGCCAACCTAATCATCAGTCAGAGCAGTCTAAAATCAGCTAATACCCCTGTTCATTCAAACCAGCTTTTGATCGAGTCATGTTATTCTCGATTTGTCATGACATGAGCTCCAAAATGTTGGAAACTTGGAATTTTGGAAACTTGCCAAGCCAAGTTGGGTTCTTTTATTTTTCTCTTTTTTTTTTTTTGAATTTTGATACTTTCCCTACTGATTCCGTTTTTTTGATGTGGCACTGAATCATGTCAGTGGAATCAAAACAGTCGTAAAACGCATCAGTCCCAAACACTAGGGGTGACAATTTTTAACTCAACC